CCTTTGCTCCTAGTAGCGTCCTTGCTCCTAGTAGCGATGCCCTTTGCTCCTAGTAGGTATTTTGTGTGTTGACTCTTTGCCCGTAGTTTCACCTGTGACGGTTGACCTGTGGTGGTCATCACAGGGGTGCATCTCCAACCTTCGACGACATGTTCCCAATCTGACAAGCAGCAATGTACGGGACCGCCTGTCAAACAAATCCCTCTTGTTGAAGTCAACAGAACTATTGGAAAGGCCAACCATGAAAGAGTTCCACCCTTTAGTGTGTCTCAATGCTTTTGTGTCTGCGAAAACTGATAAGAACAAAGCTACTTTGCAGTCGAGAGGCAAGTGCCATTGTTGGCAAGGCCCAACGCTCCAAGCGACATCGCCAATGATGCAGAAGGCTCTTGAAGCAGCTCGGACCAAAGCCCCTGTTCGGAGTGCAGGTGATACTATAAATTATTAATAAACATGATTTTATGATTACTTATGTATCCACTGTCCGTGGTTCTCAAGCTGGATCACAAATGGAATTCCAAGCTCAACGCGGATCAACGCTGTAGTAGATTGTTGTAGTGAGATGTGGCACGTACTTCACAACACTAGCTTGTCCCTCTGCCTTGAGAAGCGTCTGCGTATCTCTGCGGTGGAGCAGCTGCAAAGCCGCGAGGTGACAAGCAGCACTGGCAGAGGCGCCAGCAGCAATCAATGCATCGCGAACTATAGGTCTCAGCACAGAAACCCAGAACACACTTCCACAAGATTCACAAGATTGTCAGGCAATTGGTGCCGTGTCCGAACTCAGGAAACCATTCGACTCAGGTTAGCTGTAGCCACGGTACAAAGAATGGTCAAGAAAAGACTGCCTCACCTTCAATTGGCGCAAACCATGAACGTGTCACACTAAACTGAATGACGTTCTGGTCAGGCCCTTGGTCACATACTCAGCAAGGCACGTGGGAGCGTGCTCCACAACTCTTAGAAGCATCAGCTGAAGCAATCCTCAAGTCGCAAGTATCATGGATTGAATAGACCGTGGCCACAGCTCACCAACCGAGAAAGCACGCGCTAGCTGTAGCTGCTACAATCCAATGGTAAATGGATGGCTATGCGTGGCATAATTGCAGCATTTGAGGGGTTTGTCATGAGTCATGATGTTGAATACCCCTGATCGAAAGGGAGTATGGACAACTGGCTGGTTGTCGTCAAAGTGGCGCTGGTCCAGCTCTGCAAGTGGATCTTGGCAAAGCCTGAGAGAGCTCACTGAGAAAGGAAAAGGTAAAGGCCCTTCTGATTATGATTCAAACACAATCTTGTGGGGCGTCGTGGCAGCGTTAGAATTGGCCAAACACTCAGATCCAATTTTCCACTGCCCCTGGCATCTTCAAACGTGAAACTGCGTGACATGCTGTTTTCGTCGTGATGGCGCTCACTCACTCAGAAATGGTCGTTGGCATCACCTGAGACCTTCACCCCACGATGCCATTCTTCAACGCAGCGGCATCCAGGAGTGCCAAACCAGGCACCCGCAAAGCCTTCACAGCCTCTTGCATTGGTAGCTGCCATCCCTCGGAAGGGACACATACAAAGGATGGACCCCATCCTTCTTGCACTTGCAAGTATGCCTTTGCCACTACTACTACTACTACTACTACTACTACTACTACTACTACTGTAGCAGCAGCAGCAGCAGCAGGAGTGGGTAGTAGGTAGGAGGTAGTAGTAGGTAGTAGGAGGTAGTAGTAGATAGTAGTAGGTAGTAGTAGGTAGTAGAAATAGTAGTAGTAGTAGTAGCAGTAGTAGTCGTCGTAGTAGTAGTAGAAGAAGTAGTAGGAGTAGGAGTAGGAGTAGTAGGAGTAGTAGTAGTAGGAGGAGGAGGAGGTACTGTAGCAGTGTAGTGAGTAGGAGGGCTACATGCCCTGCCACAACATTTCTTCCATGTTCTTCCTCTGTTGCCAAGGGAACAACATCTTTGAGTGAAACAGAATGGGATCACGATGGTTGAAGATCTTGCGCAATGAAGGCCCCCCAAAGATTCTGCTGTCTTGCAAGTCTAGCACCCTGCAAGGACCCTGTATCCCATGGTGAGACGCATCTGACCAGATTTGACTAACCCTTGCGCTGCAACTGAAGTCAAGGCTCCAACTGTTCAAGGTCTTGTTGCTTCTTGACAGCTACAAGGATTGCACACCAATCAGCAGCAGAAGCCATCGAAGCCTCGGATGGATGAAGCACGAAAGGTTCAATGTTTTTCTGTTCAGCATGAGCCACTGATATCGTGAAGATTGATCAAACAAATGATATATAATTATTATAATGATTCATATTATGCATAATATATTATATTTACATATGTAAGAGTAGAGCTGATCGCAAAAACACACATTGACATCACAATCAAAGAAGAAAACTCTTGACTTGAAGCAAATCCTCGAAGCGATTTGAAGCAATCGCGGGGTTGATGGTGAATCCATCAAGCCTGGCAAATTGCAACTTCTGCCAAACCATACGTGGTTCCACCAGCCTCTTCTGAACACTGTGTTGCTCAAGCCTTTTAGATACGAGTAGAAAAAGCATCTGGTTCATTGGGCCTTCCATTTGCAATGTGCACAAAGGCCCAAAGGCCAACCATTCAGCAAAACATCTTGTCGGCTGCTCAAACTTGATCAACATTTGTTGCAACATGTTAAAACTGAGCATCAGCGAATGCATACAAGATTCCGCTCCCTGCGAGGGCAGCCAAAAAGCGAAGAGCCTGCATGCAAAGGATTTGGAGGACAAAGAACAGCCATCACCTGGTTCAATGTTTTGATTATGATGTATCTGGGCGAATTGAGCCTCTACAACACCTACTGTGCCGCTCGTCAATGCAAAAACATGCAAAAACTATCAAAAACCATGATCACAAGTGATGAACAAGAAACCTGTTGTCGCTTGGTTGAACTTGGCACTCAATCCAACTTCAAGCCTGCGAAGGATTCGGATTCCGGCAAGCTGTGAAGAGAGCCCGCCACAAGCCCTTCACCTGACAAAACCCGAAGAGTGTGACAGGCCCGAAGCGACTGTCGTTGCATCTTTACAACATCCCGATCCATCCGAAGTATTCCGAAGTCCTATTTCTTGGGGGTCGGACAATGGGTGGCAATGGCTGATCTTGGGGCTGGTGGCCTAGTGTCTGGTCAAATTTTACCGATTTCCAACTCAAACAAGGTTGCAAGTAAGCAACATTGGAATGACTGTTTCATCAGGCAAGTGACAGCCTCGGACGTGGGCAAAACACAGACTGCTTCGGCACAACTCACTGCGTCCTCACAGCTCCATGACGTAGCCGAAGCTGCAGCAGCCTCGGTCAGTTCGAGGATTGGTTCCGCAGGCTTTTCAAGAATCCGGAACAAACTTCCAACTTTCTAGCGGCACGAAACACAGGGACCATACAAGTAGCATGATGTAGCATGGTACTGGAGTGGCTCAATTCAGCCCCTTCTGGCAGTGGTCTCTTTCTTATTTGTCTCCGATCTCTCCTCCACGCACAAGGGCTTGTAGTCTCTCTTTTGAGCCATCCACCTTTCGATAGCTTTCGTCTGTTGGATGATTTGGATGGGTCGCGTACCGGAGCGTTAGCAAACCTAGTCGCATCAAGGCCTGGCTCGAAGTCGAAGTCTGCTTGCCCAAGGAACTGGAGCCAAGGCGTTCACCACATCTTGATCTCCTTCCAAGGTTTGAGGAGCCAAACCCGGAGCATGTCACCATCATTCACCATGTCTTCGATTTTGCCAGGGCGATTTCGATGCCAAACACCCGCGAGAGAACATGTTTCACGTTGTTTGAGCCACGTTGTATGAACCAAATGAATCCAAATCATCTGTATAGACCTGAAGGCAATTTGCAATGCACATCGCCGATTGGATCGCTGCCACCAATCCCTTCAGAACACTACATGGAACAAAATGTAAAAAATACATCAAGAAGGGCTTGAGTTCACCCAGTTGTTGATCCCACCGAACACATGTAACAGTGCACCCGGATCTTCCCAACATCTCCTATAACGCTCATGGCCTGGCCCACTTCACTTGGAAGCTGCAAATCTCCTTTGCCTGGAAGGGCGTTGAATCTATCCCGGTGGAACTGGTCATGTGTCAGTACCACAGTGTGGAATACTATAATGGCAAATGTAGGCGTTTGTCGAACAAGTGGTCCCATAGACTCATTAAATTGGGTCATGGTCCATTTTGCCTGCCTGCAATGGAAATCAGCATGGCTGCAATCTTCTTGCTCCTGGGCCGCTTGCATCCGCTTGCAGGGTCCATGCGACCTCCTTCTCTACGAGAAGCATAAGAAGCGTAAGCGCAGTGTTAAGTTCAGCCTGTCAGAACTGTTGTACGAATTCTTGTCTTGCAACCAGGGAGCCGTGATCAAACGTCTTTGCATAATGCATTCGAGTGGCTGTTGTTCTTCTATGAAAATGGATGCGGCTGCGAGCTTCACCAAGGATTTGGCATCACCTTGAGGAATGGTAGAGTTGGAAGAATGATACTCGCGCAAACCTTCAGCCCACCATGAGCCCTGCTGTGTGCAAATCCAACTCTGAGACTAGCAGAATTGTATCAAGCCTCCATGCCAAGTTGATTCTTGTACCTTTTGCAGTTTTGTTTTGATTCCAACCGCCAAGTACTATGCCCTATGTAATGTCGATTCCAATGATTCCAAGCGTCTTGGAAGAGAAAGCACCTGGCAATAGCAGTGCCAGTGGTAACCACGGCATGAATCCTGCTTGGATATTACTGTAGTCTGCCATGTCGGCCCTACGAACGACATGTTGCTAGATTTTTGAAGGCTGAAAAGCACAAAGAAATCACCCAAAGTCGGGGTTAAATGAAGAACATCGAAGAACTCATTAAATGAACGTGGAACAAGCACTGATAGGGTTCTTTATGGTTCCTCATCTCCAGTCATCTCGTCAGGTTTTCAAGGTGATGGCTGGCCTCGCAGAAAGGCTTCGCTTTGGCTGGAGGCAAATGCCGAAGAGCATGCCACAGGAGAATCGAATCAACCTATAGCCGACATTGGCACACAGTGGAAGGGCAAAACGGACAGGGATTCGTGCATGGGAAACATGCAGTGCTCTGGCCTCCTCAAGTTCTGCACGTCTGAGAAAGCTTTTGGCAGCCAGTAGAAAATCATCCTCCGCCACAGAAGCAGCCTGGGTGAACATGATTCTTGAGTTCAACCGCAAGCACTGCCTTGAGCATCACAATCTACACTCTGGACCTTTAGACAAACATCGTTAGACCACAGTGCAAGGACTGATTGCAAAATTGCCAGTCATGATTAGAGTCTGATTCAAAAGGATCCAGTGCCCAGTTGCGCCAAAGGCTGCCAGGCAGGCCACCACGTCCCGGGCCAGAAGAGGCGAGCGAGGCGAGGTCTCAACGGCCGCCAACGTGCATTTGTTCTGCGTCATTTTACGTCCGCCAGCTTCAACCATGAACCTGACTAGCCTACTTCAAATTGAAATGGCCAGAGCTACTGTTGCAAGACTCGCAGATCTGCCGTTGCACACTCCTGCTCCTCATTATCCAAATAGATTGATCTCCCGCAGTGTGTCGCCTCCATATGCTGCAGCAAGGTGGCGCTGAAGTTGCGCATCGACTGTGAGCATCTGAGAGTGGCCTCAAAGTTCTAAACGAGCCATTGATCTGATGTTACTAGTCTCCGCCTTTGTTACTAGTAGCTTCTTGCTCCTAGTAGTAAGGCCAGGAGCCCCTAGTAGCGTCCTTTGCTCCTAGTAGCGATGCCAGGAGCCCCTAGTAGCTTCTTGTTCCTAGTGGTACATGGTAAACAAAGTTCTATACGTCTTATACTCGCGGTAGCAAAAATGGTCCAGCCACCTACGGTCTTGTTTTGGCAAAACTCATTCTGCGTCTGCCCGAGTCGGCAAAAGGCAACAGTGGTAGTCTCGGTTCTTTTGCGTCAACCCACAGCGGCCTTGACAGAGCTAATGGCTAATGAGGCAGCCTTCCAGTGAACAGAATGGTCATTTTCGAACCCTCTCTCAACATCTTCCCAACTCTTGTGTAACTTGCAAAAGGGCAGCCTCAAGTGGTTGTAGCTGCTTCTGCCGCTTCAAGGCTTTCGCCAGCGGATTCAGCACCTCCAAAACTGCCTGAAAATGACGCACGCAATCGACGTGCGAGCGCTACTACAGAGTGCGCAAGCACAATAGAGAGATTGAGGAACCTTTTGGGAAATTCCGCTCAAATACTGTAGCCCTTTTGCAATTTCTTGACTTTCCTCTACAAGTATACAATCCCAACAACATGACCACATCCACATCTCACTGCTGATTCAGCAGCTGGGAGCCTCACTTCACAGGTGGCGATCGCCTCTGGGTTGTGGAAGCTTTGGAGTATGGCCAGCTTCTGCAATCGACCAAGGCCATGCCTGATTCGAGAAAACCTACGACATCAGACCCAAACAACGGTGTTATGATTCATCTCCTTCCTTGCGACATCACACCATATCACATCTGCTTTTTGGCTGCCCGTTAGGCTAAGTAGGATTTAAATAGGGTTATAATCTGCTTTCATATGGTAAGGCCAGAATCCTTGATTTTAAAAAGAACCAAAAAAAGTCAACTGGAAAAGTCAAAGTCAAAAAAAAGTCAAATTGAAAAGTCAAAAAAAGTAAAAACAAAGTCAAAAAAGTCAACAAAAAAAGTTCAAAAAAATAAAAAGAAACAAACATGTCCAGTAAAGCGACTCAGGAGCAAAAGAAAGCCGGCATATATATATATATGGAAAACACAGGCAAAGAGGACAACAACATTGAACTAAACTAGTAACAAGCTCATAAGTCAGCCAAGGCAAATTGCAGCCTTTTTGCTTATGGCTTATGGCTTTCAGTCAATTAAACATTCTATTCAACTTTCACCTTTTCCAGCCCCAAGCCAGCCCCAACCCCCTACCCCAGAGTCGCAGGACCCCTACCCAGCCCCAGCCACTGTCCCAGGGGCTAAGCCAGCCCTGTAGCCACCCCAGAGTCCCAAGTACCCAGCCTTTTCCGGCCCCAGTTTCTTGACTTTTTTTTTTTTTATTTTTTCAACTTTTGATTTTTTTTGACTTTTTGTTGCCTCCAGTAATCCGCCAAGGCTAGGATCCGCACATTTGATTTTTTTTGATTTTTTTTACTTTTCCAATTGACTTTTTTTTGCCGGCCCAGCCCCGCATGCCCCAGCCCGCCTGTAGCCTGCCTGAGCTCGACCTCAACCTGACCCCTCCGCCAGGAGCCAGCCGCAGCCAGCCCCAAGCCTGGCCCTGGCAGCAACCTGCCCCAAAATTTGAGCAGCAGCTGGCTTGGGGCTGAAGAGACCCTGGGACAGTGGCTGGGGCTGGGTAGGGATCCTGCGAGGCTGGCTTGGGGCTGGAAAAGGTGAAAGTTGAACAACCGAAAAGGTTCTAGAATTTTGAATAGACTGAAAGCCATAAGCCACAAGCAAAAAGGCTGCAATTTGCCTTGTTACAAGTTTTTCCTTGACTTGTTTGCCTATGCAAAGTTTTTGTTTGATTTTTTTTGGACTTTTTGTTGACTGTTGACTTTTTTGACTTTTTTTTTGAGATTTTTTTTGACTTTTCAATTTGACTTTTTTTTTTTGACTTTGACTTTTGGGATTGATTTTTTTTGTTTTTTTATTTTGAAAACATGTTCTTTCCAATGAAAGCATTTTATAAAAATAGGGAAACACACATGTATAACTATATATATATATATATGATATTTTATAATCAAGTTCACAAAACACATGCATTCTGTTTTTTTAAACCAAACATGGCAACTCTAAAATCACACAGCTATATATGTATATACTATCAGCTCCTAAGACGGACTAATCCGTTGGCTTAACGGCTTAACATTTCAAATATAGAATAGTCTCGCGTGTGGGGATTGGCGGCAAACTTGATCTGAGCTGTAGGCAGTGTCGTCGCCAGAGTGAGCGTATTCAGCGCATTGGCCTCCCGGAATGCATAGGCCACAGTAACCAGAGAGCTACAAAGCCTTCGCGTCGACTTAGAGTTGTGGCCCAGGGATCTCCAAACAAAGAGTATCGCGCTCTCCGATCTAAACATACATCTTGGGGGCTCATGGGAGTTCTTACGTACATTCCTGGTTTACGAGGTTGTATATGGGAGCTAGAGGGGGGGCTGGCCAGATTGTGCACGAGTTTTATCCGGATTTGAGCCTGGTGTGCCAGACGCTTCAACAGCTGTGGTGTCCACTGGGGCACCCAGGGCAAGGCCACAAGCACAGATGCGCAAAGGCTGGGAGTAAGGCGGGACAGCCTTGCAAAATTTCAATCCACAATGTGTGACTTCAGCAGTTCTTGTCTGGCCATTGAATGGGGAAACATCTCCGTGTTCCACTTCAGGCAAACATGCTGCATCCACATGCCCCTTCTTTCAAAATCCGGATGCAAAATGCAAGCATCGCACTCCACACAGTTCTTGGCAGGGTGCTCTGGTTCCAACTGGGCTAGCAGCCCAGCAAGCTTCTCTCTGTCCTGGCAAAGTCGTGAATCCCTCTCTCGATCGTTTGTGAGGTCTGCTTGGATACTGTATTCGAATTGTGTGAAAGCTCGCAGGGAACCTTTTCAGCTCAAAATGCGTAGCGCCATCAAATGGCTTAGGCCTATGAGGGTAAAAAGGCCGCGGTCAAACATTCACGATCAGCCCAACATCAAGGGACATTTCTCAGTGGACTCCTTCTTTTGTTGATTTTGGGGCTGATCATCCGGTGAGAACACACTGACCAACACATCGGCGGTCTCGCCGATCAAACCGAGTCTGCCACCTCGCACGTCCTTCTCCAACAAACGCCACTCATACTGGCTTTCCGAGTCAAAACGAGCATACGACGACCTGAGAGGGAACAGGCTTTCATCGAATCTTGGAGAGGGGCTACGAAAGGATCTTGCAGACCTACACACGTGGGTTCCGTGTGGATCCTGGAAGCGCCAACCAGGTTTCTCTGAACCGCATCAGGTGGCTCAGCATCAGATCCGTTGCACTCAGAGGTCGACCGGGGAGAGATGGTCCCTTAGGAGCTGCTGCCTTCTTGGGTTGTGCAGTTGGTCGAACGAACTGCGGGTTGAACTTCATGCTCCACAGGCCGCGATGCAAGACCGATCGCAAATGGTTTGGTCGCATTTCCTTCGTTCCACAGTCTATCAACATGTTCTCTGTTGACGTCCAGTGTATTGAAGTGGCTTCTCGCTGAAGAACCTCTCTCAACCATGCGATCGTGAAGGCAAGCAATTTCTGGCTGCCATAGGTATAGGAGTGTCAGATGTATTCTTATCATATACATCCTTCGCATCGGTCACAAGTGCCAGCGGAATTGCAGCATAGTGGCCATTGCCCTGCAGCACATTGAAGCCTTGCACTTCAGCGACCAGAAAGTTCTGCGCCGTGAGTGGAAAGGCAGACTCGGGTCAGGCAGTGACTCCGAGCGTCGAGAACCCCCTACAATTGCCACCTGCTTGAGGTTGCTGATTGAAGGATAGGGGAAGGGCACATAGCGCAGCCATGGCCGCCGACACAACCATAAGCAAATGCCTTGCGCGCGCCAAAGCACTCTTATTCGAAGGCACCAGAAAACGGCGTGGCACGGTGTCCTTGTTGTCCATGATTCCGAGAGGTGAGGCTCGATCGGGTGCTCCTAGTAGCGATGCCAGGAGCCCCTAGTAGTGTCCTTGCTTTCAAAAGAGCCATGCTTCGGGACAAATCAACGGAATCACCTTCATGAACGCACATGCCAACAAGCTTTGCTGCGCAAACACTATGCTCTGACAAAAGGTAATCATGATTGACGCTCTGCACTGCCAAGAGTTTCCAATGCAACCAATCATGATGTGAAATCTGCGAAGCAACAACTTCGTCTAATCCAACACGTCTCCTAGGCCTGGGCCACCCAGGAGGAATCAACCGCAGGGCAAAGTGTCCTGCAGCCAGCTGATGCAGAGGAATGTGCTTATGATCGGCTAGCATGATCTTCTTGGAAAAACTCAACGCGCAACCAACGCCATCCAACCAATCCCTGCCCAGACGTAGTCCAAGGCTGCCAACTGGAATAATAGAAACCCAGGTGAGGACCAAGTCTGTACCAATGACCATCGGCAACCGAAACCTGACAGAACTCTTCTGTGTTCCACCATCTCCGAAACGCGGTGCTCAATGCAGAAAGATGATGATCCAACCACGCTGTCCCACAACAAGTCCTATTGCACGCTGAGTCCAACGCACACATCAACCTTTTATCCATAGACAACGATGCAAGCTGACTGACCTGCACTTCATTGGATTGCTTCAATGCTTGCGACAATGTTGTAGGGCAAGAGACAATGTCAACACTTCACGAGCTTCTTCCGCAGGTGCGTGGGGTCAGCGGTCAGCGCTGTAGTCAAAGCTTCTGTGACACGCACTTGCTTCTGCTGCTTTCCAACGTTGTTCTTTGGCTTGTACAGGCCTGCGCCTGGGTTGGGACAACCATGATCTCCACTCCAATGACCTTGCTGTCCGCAGTCCCAACAACTCGACTTGGCTTTCTTGCCGTTGACCTGGTTGCCAGTGAAGCGGGACTTCATTGAAGTCGGTGTAGTTGGCGTCTTGCCGTGTCCACGATCTTTCTTGACCTCTGCAATCTTGTGGCGAGCCTCACACATGGTCACCAAGGATTCAGCAGCTTGCTTCGACTCCACTCTCAAGAGCCTCCAACACATCAGGCTCAAGAGCCTGAATCTCTGCAGCTGACACCTCGGCTTCAGCCGTGAGCACTTCTTCAAGATTGCCGTTGATGCCCTCGGTTTGGTCGGGCACCAACTCTGAGGGCTTGAAACTCTTGTTTGAACTGCCTGCAAACGAAAACGACCGATACGTCCGAGTCCCAAACGACGACGTCCCTCCACTCGACGGCAACGATGTCCGGTGTGAAGATGCTCCTGACTGCGACTGGCTAAGGAAGCGGCTGAGCAGCGGTGAACGATCAGTGGCGCTCTTCCTATGCAAAGGGTCCTCGCTGTGCAAATCACGGAAGAGTCTCAATGCTTCAGCTTCAACTTCCTCATAGGATTCACGACCTCTCAATGCTGTATCCAACCGTTGAACTCGAATCGCATCAAGGCCCAACCGATTGCGCAAGAACCAGCCCAGCTCCTCACTTGGCAACTCACGACGCATCTCCGAAACCAGCGTACGGAAGCGAGTGCAAAAGGTGCTAATGCGCTCTCCAGCATTTCGTTTGAGGTCTTGGTAAAACAGGCGTCGAAGTTCTCCTCTTCGATCTAGTGTGGTCCTGCCCATGCTCTCTTCAAGAGCCTTCATCAACTTGCGAATGCCCTGCCATGGATCGGCAGGTTCCAGAACCACAGTCTCGCCAGAATCAGGATCAGTACCCGTCACTTCAGCTTTGCCTTCCAGCTCCTCCGGGGTGAACTCCTCGCAACAAGCACGAACAACTCCAGTTTGGCGTAATGTCCAACGGGCAGCAACATTGTACTTACTACATGAAATCGCATCCATTGAAGCCATCCACCAACTCATCTCACGCTGGAAGCTTCTGAATCCAGCCGGGTTTTCATTTAATGTGGGCACTCTGTACCAAGCCGACGATCCCTTTCTTCATCGGCAATGGTTCCTCGCAAAATGCAAGGATGAAACAACTGCAACGCAAGCTGTCAGCAAAAGTTGAAACACAAGCTCCTCCGACACACCGACCGACTGTAGCTAAGCCAACAATGTAAGGTCAATGTACCAGAAACAAATTCCAACAACCAATGTCACTGGCAATGAACGCAGCTCACAGCCAATGCACAATGTTGTCAACCAATGCACGCGGAGTTCAGGGCCAACGCCACCCAAAGGTGGCCAACGCAAAACAGCAAAAGCAGATCTTCAAGCTCCGCTACCACTGTGAAAGCTCGCAGGGAACCTTTTCAGCTCAAAATGCATAGCGACATCAAATGGCTTAGGCCTATGAGGGTAAAAAGGCCGCGGTCAAACATGTGCTCACGATCAGCCCAACATCAAGGGACATTTCCCAGCATGCGAGCTGCAGAAAATTGGCCAGATCAAGCAACACAGGACACCTAAAAGAGGCAACACACCAACCCATTTTCTTTGAGTTGCAGAAAGGAGAGAGGCTTTGCAACCCCACCACTTTCCGCAGTTCCTGGGAAGCTTTCCGCCGCGATAGGACTGCAACAGAGTTCACGATCTTCTCTATATCTGGGGTCGTTGGCATTGCCTCGCAGCAGGCGGGTGAACTTCTATTGAATTCTGGTCCACAAAGTTGTAGTTGGCTTGTGCACACCAAAGTCCAAAGGAGTTGTGAGAGAAAATGAACATGAAATAACCAATCACAAACCAATACAGTATATAAATAAACCAAGTCCATTTCGCATCTTTTGCCCGAGTGACTCCGGTCCGTGTTGAATCAGGTCGCACAAGGCCGACACCTGGTTCAAGACTGAGAAGGCGTTCTGATTTTTTTGATAGATACATATATTATATTACATTACGTTACCTTAATGTGCCTTTTGCTTACCAATGGATCCAACTCACAATGTGCCTGCTATGCTTGCTGCTCTCAGCAATGTACTCAAGGCTTTCTTGAGTCTGCTTTCGTTCATCGCGTTTCACTTGTCCAAGGTCCTGACGCGCCATCAATTGTCGCGGGCTGAGCACCTCCTGGGCAAATACCCAGGTGGTGAATTCTTTGTGCTTCCCTATTACTTCGTTTGTATTGCAAGTACCAAACAAAACGGTCGTACACCGTAGCCCCCCCCACAGGCTTCCAGGATGAGGCAATGATCACATGAACCACACGTGCCAAACTTAAGCAAACAATCATCTGCTACATTTCGTTGAGGCAAATCTTGTGCCAAGATTCTACTCCATTCCACTACATCATTTCTATTCATTTCTTCATGCGGAATTGCCCGTCCTGCTGAAGGTTGGACTCGTCGGCGACCGTGTTGTCCTGACTGCAGCCTGATGCTTACGTGGGTTGAGCCCTACGTTATAAGCACGGATTCAAGAAGAGGTATTCGTTCTGACCCTTGCATGTACAGTAGCAGAGGAGAAGGTTGAGGACTCTATTCACATTCCATTCACGTTCAAACTCGCAACTTGCAAGAATGTCTGACTCTAAAGATTGTATAAGATTGTTACAGTAGTGTCTAAAAAGACAAAGAAACAATATCAAACTCTATTCCCAACTCCAGTGTCTGGCATCCTGTAAGCTTGAGACCTGCCTGTCTCTTCTTCGGTGCTTAGCTCTTGCTTCGCGAGTTCTGTGGCCGCTGCCGCCGCTGCCTTTGCCTCATCAGCAGCTCCCTTCGTCTCTGAAGGTGTCGTGCTGGTCTGCTCGTCTGCAGGTGGTGGGCCTCGTCCCAATCTCCGTGGTCAGGGCAGGACATGGCAAATAACTCTGACGAGTTGATCAAAAGCATTCAAAAGCGCCAACCTGACGAGCAACTCTTGATATTCTCCACGGATGGCCGCCGGACTTCCCGAATGACCTGTGGTAACAAGTGCTATGCTGGCTATGATGCAAATTCTGTTGTTGCCTTGGATTCAGGCTCTGAACAATTACGTTTGCTCAGCCGCAGACCTCCCCTTGCCTGGCTCGAAGATCTTTCTCCTTTGCGGCTCGACGCAGGTGCTCCTGCCGGGTGTCCTCTCGCTCCTGCAAGTCTCATCTACGATGGCGTGCATCTCTTTGCCGTAAACATCAATTGACCAATGTGTAGCCGTGCTTGGGTGGGAGAATGGAACATCTCAACATTTTGTGATTGCCTCAAACCAAATATATAAATGATGCATGCAGCTGCTCTGAAACACTCAGAAACATACTTGTCTCCCACACCACACATCCATCCTCACAATGTCTTAAGAGTCCTTCCGTCCCTCTTTGATAAGCTTCTCCAGCTGTGTCGCCTGCATATGTAGGGACCTCAGCATTGCGATAGGAAGGTGCTGACCAAATCCATGGAACTTTAACTTTTATTGCACCATCCTTGACAACTCCTAGCACTCCATGAGCTCGAATGGAATAATATCTGACATCTGCTTTAACAAAAACCCCTATATATATATTATAATGTTGGATCCTGATTAGTAAATGGTGCCTCTATAATGCTAAATTTTTCCAAATTTTTTCAAACACCCCTGTTTGAAAATGGTGCCTCTATAATGCTAAATCTTTTTTGGGCCCTAAATTTTTAAATTGGAAACCCAATTAATAAGGGTTTGAATTCCTTCTGAGGCCAATGATTATGATTCATTAAATTAGCTGATATAGCTTTCTCTATGTTTCTTCAAAACTGACAGCTGACCAAAACCACCAGTTCCCCAATTAAACCCTTTATAAAACATTGCTCCTAAACAAATTTTCAAGGTAGTAGACCAGGAAGGCACCTGATCCTCAATAATAAATTTGTTTTTGGGACCTCAATTGTGAAAAGTTTTTTTTTCCACTGGAAAAAATGCACATGGAATCTCCCTTTACTTAGCTGCAAAGCAAAAGGATTGCTGAGAACAATTACAAAGCACCTGAGAAAGGAAGCTGCATACAATCTATGAAAGGAAAATTAATACTACAATCAATTACAAAAGATCCCTCACCAGGAATCCAGATTTGTTTTGGTGATAGTCTATTATAGAGGACCTCCTGTTTGTTTGAGGGAGGGGGGGGGCCCTATTTACTAATCAGGCGCCAACATTAATGTAATATATTCCTGAATTTATCTATAAAGAACACACCGAACGTTTCCGTTGCGGGGCCACAAAAAAAACATCCAGATCGTCAAAACCATGCCAAGGAACTCATCAAAAACGGATGCATCCACCCGGAACCTCGAACCTTTGTCTGGAAACTTCCGATGGTCCTTGTCAAGAGGAAATGCTTCTGGCGCTTCTCTGGTCGTCTAAAGAAACTAATGAATGTGCAGTTGGCATGGACCGCGCGCTCTTGTTCACGTTCCATTTGCATGCATTTGCAACAACTCTTTTGTTATATACTATATAACATATATATATATATATATATTCAATATTGGATAACTGGAAATGCAATGATATGCATTGATACTACCCTGCCCTTCGAGCGACTCCCACCCACCCCGAGAGGCGATTTGGAAAACGGAAGGACATATTGCGTTGACAGACCTGACACTTGTTCTGCCTGACACGTGTTATGAGAATAAAACTTGGCATCTGTTCTGGCATGTATTCTGACATATATTCTTCTGACAGTGTTATCAGAAACTCGTGTCCATCATGTAAATATTCTGACACCTGGCCTGTACTGACATCAAACCTTTCATGCGTTCCGAAAATCGTCCTGACACAAGTTCTGCCACGTGAATGTAATCTGACAATTGCTCTGACATATGTCCGACATATCCTTTCAGAGGCCCGTGACACAAGTCCAGCGTTGACAAACAGATTTGGGAGACCCGTGATGTCCAGCACGACACTGTGACTTTTTTGACCTGTGAAGTATGTCGCGACACAGTGAAAAAGGAGAAGGTAGAAGACCCTGTATAATAAATTCTGAAGATCATATGTATGCAAACTCTGGATTGAACCTAACACTTCCTGCTTGAAGTTTCTCTCCCGCACAATGCAAAGGCTCCTCTGTCGGAGAGTCAAAGAGCGCCTTGGTTCGAGAATGGTTTGCCAGCCGTCGCAGGCGGGTGTTGGTAACGTCCTGGGAGGCGAGGTTGGTTGGATGATGCCCAATTGAACCATATGTGCACACACACATATCTGTATATTAATATATATATATACATACAAATATTCACCTCTATCTCAACTGGTCCACTTAATTTTCTTCATTTTTGTGTTCTTTAAATATTTTGTGTAATATTAAACATATGTCGCAAGTTTCGCTCCACACTTCTCCTCCAAATATCTGGAACCTTGCTCTGTAGCAGATTTCTGCGGCCTGCGCTTGAAATGTCTACCGACATTGGTTTTTCGCCTTTTTATGCGTCCAACGTACGTTTCAGTCGTGTAGTCCTGCTCAATAGATATGTCTCAAGAGGTGTAAGGGCCCCTTGATGAGGGCGAGGCACCAAACATAACAAACGAAAACATAGAAAAAGAAACACACAAATGGAGATGACCAAAAAAAATCTAGTGATGTTGCACCAAAACAAAAAATCAAACCCCAAAAATAAGAAGAACCATGAATAAACAATGAACAGTAACCTGTGCAGTGGCAGCGCCAACAAAGCAGCAATAGCAGTAGCCGCAAGAACAATCCTACTGTACTTGTACTAGTATTTTTAATCCTATTCGCCTTCGTATTCGTCGTCGTAGGAGTAGGAGGAGGAGGAGGAGGAGTAGAAGTAGTAGTAGTAGTCGTCGTCGTAGTAGTCGTAGGTAGTAGACAGTAGGTAGTAGACAGTAGGTAGTAGACAGTAGGTAGGTAGTATGGAGTAGTTAGTAGTTAGGAGCTGGAACACCGCCCATAACCGGCCGTGGTGCTTTGCGCCTTGTTTAGAGATTGTCGTCGATTTCACAACAATTTC